GCCCCCCCCCCGGGACCCCCCCCCCCCCCCTCCCCTGTCCGATCCTCCAGCGCTGACTGGCGGAACTGGCGGAGCGCTAGGTAGGCAGAGCCAGCTGTCAATCACGCAGCTGGGTGGATCTTGACAGTAATGTTGGGATCTGACCCGGCTGCGGCGGTCTCAGTATATGGCGAGCTGTAGCTCGCCATATACTGAGCTTTAGGTCACGGGAGGACGCTACCTTTGTCCTCCTGTGACCCTTAGGAGAACTATGGAGAAAAGCACTGACCCCATAGTTCTCCTTTAAACTTTTCATTCGTGAAAGATTAGAACCCCTGTCTGACTTTTCTATGTTCCTGCTGAAGAGTGTCTCTCTACAGGTCCTGGGGACCAAACTTTTCAGTACAAAAAAGTGAGGAGAAATCCAAAAGGTTTAAATTGTCACCAGAAAACGAATAGAGGGGAAATCCTTCAATGGGTACACCTGCTCTGGTGACAACTGTCTCAGAACGTATATCCGTCTACTTTGAAGAGGTCTACTCTTTTTTCTGGCTTTGTCTTTGGGACAGGAAGTGAATGGGAGGGAATTCCTAGATGGGACACTGCTGGCTTTACAAACACTTTAAGGCTCCTGAAAAGATACAAGAAGCCGCACTATACAGTATGTATAGTCTGATATCTGATAAGAAACCTGATCCAGGGCCATTGTCCTCCTACTACCATCACCAGGGAGCAGCTAACCAGTCACCTCCCTGGAGGAAAGTCTCATGCCTCAATGACAAAGCCGGCTCCTTATTCCGTCATACAGTTTCCTGTGCCAGGCGATAATCGAAGACACTTCCCCGCTCGGCAAAGCTGCGACTTTGATTCTTCTTAGGCAGTGCGGAGTCGCCATCTTGGTTCTGATCCCCATATCCGCCACCTCCAGGGGTGTGAAGGGTGAAGATGTCCTAAACAAAGCCGGATTGGAATATCCATTAGCTGCATTTTATTCCATGAGAAATAGAAACTCCAACAACTATCCCCGGGCTGTTTTCATCAAGTCCCCCAAAATATACACTATATTGCCAAAAGTATTGGGACACCCCTCCAAATCAGCAGCTGCATCCAAGCCTTACATCACCAAGTGCAATGCAAAGCGTGGGATGCCGTGGTGTAAAGCACGCCGCCACTGGACTCTAGAGAAGTGGAGACGTGTTCTCTGGAGGGACCAATCACGCTTCTCTGTCTGGCAATCCGATGGGCGTGTCTGGGTTTGGCGGTTGCCAGGAGAACGATACTTGCCTGACTGCGTTGTGCCAAGTGTAAAGTTTGGTGGAGGGGGGATTATGGGGGGTGGGGTTGTTTTTCAGGGGTTGGACTCGGCCACTTAGTTCCAGTGAAGGGAACTCTTAAGGCATCAGCACACCAAGACATTTTGGACAATTTCATGCTCCCAACTTTGTGGGAACAGTTTGGGGACGGCCACTTCCTGTTCCAATGTGACTGCGCACCAGTGCACAAAGCAAGGTCCATAAAGACATGGATGGGGGAGTTTGGGGTGGAGGAACGTGACTGGCCGCACAGAGTCCTGACCTCAACCCCATAGAACACCTTTGGGATGAATTAGAGCGGAGACTGCGAGCCCGGCCTTCTCCTCCAACATCAGTACCTGACCTCACAAATGGTTCAACATTCCCATAGACACACCCCTAAACCTTGTGGACGCCTTCCCAGAAGAGGCGGAGCTGTTATAGCGGCAAAGGGCGGAGCCAACCCAAATACTGAACCCTACGGACTAAGACTGGGGGGCCATTAGAGTTCATGTGTGTGTAAAACCAGGCGTCCCAATACTTTTGGCAATATAGTGTATTACAATACAGGAAATGTTTTAAGAAAAATCCACTTGGCAGGAAACATTTTGTCAATTTACAGCTTGTTTGGGTGATACTTTACTCCACCTCAAGCCAAAGAAAATCCATTATTTCTAATGGAGGCGAGTTGGGGTAAGAACGGTCCTTGATGCGACATAGAAACTGCTGATTCTTTAAGCAATTTGCAGCCAATAACCTATACTACATATTCTGGCATGGAAAGGGTTAAAACAAGCCCCCAGCTGCTATAGCAGCCATGAGCTTTACTGTATTTACTATATTGTGGCAATCACTATTATGGGAGCGGCAAATCCTGTGTGGTGCCCAGGCTCTCCTCCTCCTGGGAAACTGGGACCACAATAACTACTGTCTGAATGGCCAGCAGGAAGAGGGATCACACATCTGATCTCTCCAATGTGCAGTGAACCCGGCAGCGTTCTGCTCTGAGCACTTATGGGTTCACAGCTGTCAGATGAGAGCAGGCCGTGCCCAGTAAAACAACTTATTGACACCTTTCTGTATGTCATCTGTTATGGTGAAACGCAGGGAAGACATTAGGGGTCCATCTGATCAAAATTTCTGCAAAAATTAAAAAATTTCAATTTGCATTGGGGTCAATTTTGAAGGTGATATGAAGGTGGTTTTTAAGGGTGTGATGGGGTTTATATGGCTATTGGAGGAGAACTAAAGCCCTTGTCAGGATACCGTGCGTGGGTGTCCACACACCGCATGCAGGTACCCACACTGGAGAACCAAAAGCTTGACCACACCAGACAATGCCTATGAGCTTATGAACATACAGTTTATTAGACACACCGGAATCATATAAAAACACAAACAACCCCACCAACACCCACAAGTAATAACAGCTAACTAAATGCAAACACAGACAACAGGGCAAGTGAAACCTAGGGAGCAAGGCAACACAAGGAGAGCCACGGAGCAATGGTCAGGGTACAAGGGGGTACCAGGATACAGGAATCAGGTCACAGGTCATAGGTAACAGGATGCAGGTAATGGCGACAATACTGTGGCATCAGGCTCACTGCAGCATCAGGCGGTGCCTAATTGCTGAGACCTGCAGGTGAGCCCTGGAAGTGCAGGACCTGGTTCCAGAGTCCCAGCACCACCTGGAGGTGTTCAGATCGCTAACAGCCCTTTTCATCCCTCCCGGAACGGTTCTTGGCCTCATTATTTTTACAAAACAGAAAACAAAGTTACATTAAAAAATGTAAAGCAAAGGCTCACAAATATTCAAAATTTAAAAAAAAACACAAATATAACAAAACACTAAATAAGAATAATTGTTTTTTTTAGCAAATTTTGCCTAAGCAGCTCAATGAGCGAAACCGAGAGTTTCTGCTTCACCAAAAATGACTCCACTCCAATCAGCCTTTGCATACTCCTCCTTTAGGAGAAAAAACTAATGAACGGATATTCGCAGGGTAAATGGCCCTAACACATTGGTTATAAATCAACCCCGTAGAGTGGGAACAGGTGTCCAGTCCCAGAAACAGGAAATGAAGATAACAGTCCCATCTCTCTATCTCCCTCTGTGACTTTGGAAGAAGATATCACAGTAAAGCTCATGATACAAGAAGGCAAAGAGGTCACAGGTCATTTTATTGTCACCTGCGGAACCTGGATTTTGCTCAGAAGTGAAATGTAACTACAGTAAGAGAAAAGGAAAAATAAACAAGCGCTCTCTTATCTTACCCCCGGCTCTAAAGCAACAGACGTCTTCCCTCCCAGGTTAATGGTCCTCCCATCATGGCGATGGAGGAGGTTGAGGCCGGCATCTCCAGGAGACCCTCCTATAGAGAGCATAGAAGAGATGAATGAGGAGGAAGTGACATCACAAGGAAGGAGGAAATGAGGAATTATCTGGATAAATCACCGTCAAGTCCGTAGGGTCGGAAAACTCTTCGCTCCGTGAGAACTGACAAAATGACGTTTTCTCTAAACAGAAGCTCCCGGATGACTCCGTCTCCTCCCTGGAATCTCCCATCACCCCCGGAGCCTGGGCGCAGCTCAAACCGCTTGAGGACTACCGGGTACCTGCAGAGGAGAGGACATGATTCTGTCATTTAAAAAAAATGATCCGTTTGACTGCCGGCTGTAACCAGACAGCCAAAAGGCACACACAATGTGGACATGGAAACACATTCTGCTTTAACCAGGTCAGCTCTCACCCTGGTACCCCCCCGGGTAAACCATTCCATGAACCAGCAGTATCGGGGAATATGTGTTTGACAAAATAGAAGAGGGTGGAGAAAGGTGAGGTTTTCATTTTCTCTGCATTGATGACCTGATTCCTGGGATTTGCCCAGCCTCCTATATAGAATATGCACACAATAGATATATTCACCATACCGCTTCTCCAGGATCTCTGGGTCAGTAATCCGGGTGTTGGTCATGTGACTGTGGATTCCGCTTCTCCCATCCCAGTGTGGTCCAGCGCCAGCACCCCCAGCCACCGTCTCATAGTAACCGGTCTTCTGGTTCCCAAAGGTGATGTTGTTCATACAGCCCTGTACAGCACAAGATAAGTCCAAGCTCAGAAACTACCCCCATACTACTCATCTCTACAAATAATGAGGAGTCAAAGCTTACACATTACCCCATACTACTCATCCCTCAGCTCCTGGGAAGAGTCCAAGCTCATATATGACCCCCATACTACTCATCTCTACAAATAATGAGGAGTCAAAGCTTACACATTACCCCATACTACTCATCCCTCAGCTCCTGGGAAGAGTCCAAGCTCATATATGACCCCCATACTACTCGTCTCTACAGTTCCTGAGAAGAGTCCAAGCTCACATATGACACCCATACTACTCATCTCTACAAATAATGAGGAGTCAAAGCTTACACATTACCCCATACTACTCATCCCTCAGCTCCTGGGAAGAGTCCAAGCTCATATATGACCCCCATACTACTCGTCTCTACAGTTCCTGAGAAGAGTCCAAGCTCACATATGACACCCATACTACTCATCTCTACAAATAATGAGGAGTCAAAGCTTACACATTACCCCATACTACTCATCACTACAGCTCCTCAAATCAGTCCACGCTCATATATGAACCCATAGTACTCTTCTCTACAGCTCCTAAGAAGAGTCAAAGCTCATATATGAACCCATGCTACTCTTCTCCACAGCTCCTAAGAAGATTACAAGCACATATATGAACCCATAGTACTCTTCTCTACAGATCCTGGGAAGACGCCAAGCTCATATATGAACCCATGCTACTCTTCTCTACAGATCCTGGGAAGAGTCCAAGCTCATATATGAACCCATGCTACTCATCTCTACAGATCCTGGGAAGACGCCAAGCTCATATTTGAACCCATGCTACTCTTCTCTACAGCTCCTAAGAAGAGTCCAAGCACATATATGAACCCATAGTACTCATCTCTACAGATCCTGGGAAGACGCCAAGCTCATATATGAACCCATGCTACTCTTCTCTACAGATCCTAAGAAGACTCCAAGCTCACATAGGACCCCATACCACTCATCTCTAAAGCTCCTGGGAAGAGTCCAAGCTCACATATGATTTGAGTATGATTATCATTATTTTTATTTAGGATTATCATTATTTATATGATCCTCACTTTTGCTACCAACATTATTTCCAATATAATATCTTTCTACTGATATCACATTTTTGGAATCATTGATCCTTCATGTGATGTATAAAAGATAATTTTTGTAAAACTTTTTTTTTTTTTGCATATTTTATTCCTGATGAAGGGGCGGAGTTACAGTTCACCGAAACACAATGGCTTTGTAAGCAGCCTGTCATTAGAATAACCTTGTATCTGGACTTGAGCATCATGGTGTGGCTCTTAAATTCTAGATTCTATTATCCTACCACATACCAAGGTGATCACAGAAATCCTTTGGTGCGGAAGCTGCCAGCCCAATATTTAAATTCCCTATAACTACACTGCGGTCATGCTCTTGGATGAGGACCATGATATAAAATAAGAATAACAAACCTCAGGGGTCCAACACTTTCAAGCCACTGCCGCTAGGGATTTTATTCCTGCCTATGTGCCTGCACCCCCACCCTCTCCATATGGCCATTGTCACTGAGACAGGAAGAGATGGTAAATTGGTAAAATTGGAATTAGGAATGAAGTGGAAATCTTCAAATTGGGACATTGTTCTGGTGACAACTGTCTAAGACATGAGTTCCCTTACTTGGAGATATTTGCTCCCTCTTGAGTGTATGGAGGGGGGGGGGGGGATCTCCTCAATGGGACACCAAAAGGTCACATAGTTACATAGTATTTGGGGTTGAATAAAGACATACGTCCATCAAGTCCAACCCATATAGGTCCACGCATCATCTCATTCTTAGGAATACTGGTATCCCTGGATATTACGGTCCCTCAGGAAATCATCCAAAAGTTTCTTGAACAATTCTACATTCTCAGCTGAAATCACTGCCAGTGGCAGCGAGTTCCAGACCCTAACCGCTCTTACTGTGAAGAACCCCCTCGCCCCTTGTGCTGGAATTGTTTCCACCAACTTTAGGTGGTGGCCTCTAGTCTTTGTAATGGAGTTAATCTCCATATGGAGGTCCATATGAGTTTCAACCCTTCCCTTCCAAAAATTAATGTTTTGGCTTTAGATATATTTTAGATATATATATATTTTCATTGCAAGGCAATACTCGCTCCCCCCTCCAAACATGGCTCAGTCCCACCTGTGATGCTGCACAGACTTGGAAGGCCTTGAAGATGACATCCACGATTCTCTGCGAGGTCAACACATTGCCCCCGACAACAGCAGCATCTGGTGAGGGGTCCAGGATGGATCCTTTAGGAATGATGACTTTGACGGGCACAAGACAACCCTGAAGACAAAAGAGGTAGGGCACAGCGAGATTGTGTTTTCATTTGGTGATCAAGAGTTTGAATACTCGGTACAATTATCTGAGACTTACCTGATTTAGGGGTATATCTTCTCCCACCATGCAGCGCAGGCAGTAAATCAAAGCGGAGAGCGTGATGGCACGGGGAGCGTTACAGTTTCCAAAAACTTCATGTCCTGAGTTGCTAAAATCAAACACAGCACTGCCCTGCAATGACACAGAATCAAAAGGTTAGTCCTGGCGCCATGTTTAAAGGAACAATACACATAGATCTGAGAAGGTTCTCATTCATCCAGGTCATGGTAGAGCTATTAGTCGTTAGCCACCTTCAACTAGACTTGTTCTGTAACCTTGAAAAAAAATGGGCTATTCACAAAGTACATGGCCGGCCTTCCGACACAGCTTCTTCCGCCAGAAGGACTACCCTAGGAAGGGATCAGGAAAATCAACCACCACTCACCATGAACGGCTTTGAAAGTTTATTTAGAAAAGTTACAAAGTAATAGTAAAGAAGAAAGTCTGCAGAGTTCTGACTTAGATTTGATCAATTTAAGGCTTTCCATTGTTTTTTTCTCTCCATACACTTACCACCCTGGTATATTTGACCATTTTGATGGAAGGAAACCAGAGAAGGTATTTTTATTATGATGAAGTTCGGCAAAACTGAAAAGTCTGTTTTTTGCAAGTATATTGGTTTTTATTTTTGTGTATTATTACCTCTTCCTTGTTAATCTTCACTTTCAGTCTGATTGGAGAGCCGTCATCCATGAAATCCACAGACTCCACTTCCAGTGCTCCCGTCTGCTTCTCCCAGCGATTAGCAAATGCTTTCAACATTTCTCTCACTGCTACCTCGGCATTGGCCTGAGAATGGACAAATCCAATGCAAAGATTACAAAGCCTTTTTATTATGACAGACAAAATCTCAAGTCCAACTTTGCCTCATCTCCTATACACTACATGACCAAAACTTTGTGGACACCTGAACATCACACTTATTTACTTGTTGGATATTATATTCAAAAACAATGGGCATTAATATGGAGTTGCTCCCCACACTCCTCCCATAGCCATTAATATGGAGCTGCCCCCTTTTCCACCCATGGTCATTAATATGGGGTTGCCCCCTTTTCCACCCATGATTATTAATATGGAGTTGCTCCCTTTTCCACCCATGATCATTAATATGGAGTTGCCCCCTTTTCCACCCATGATTATTAATATGGAGTTGCTCCCTTTTCCACCCATGATCATTAATATGGAGTTGCCCCCTTTTCCACCCATGATCATTAATATGGAGTTGGCCCCTTTTCCACCCATGATCATTAATATGGAGTTGGCCCCTTTTGCGGCTATGACATCCTCTACTCTTTAGGGAAGTCTTTCCTTAAGATTTTGGAGGATGTCTGTGGAAATTTGCCGATTTGTGAGGTCAGATACTGATGTTGGATTAGAAGACCTGACTTAAAATTGGTTTTCTATTTCATCCCAAAGGTGTTCAGTAGGTTGAGGTCAGGGCTCTGTGTAGGACACTCGCATTCCTCTCAACCAAACTGGTCATAGCATGTCTTTATGGAGCTGGCTTTGTACATGGGGGACAGTCACGGTGGAACAGATAAGGGTCTTCACCAAACTGTGACCACAAGGTTGGAAGAGCACAATTGTCTACAATGTCTTTGTATGATTTAGTATTAATGGTACCCTTCACTGGAAACACCAGAACCCCATCATTTAGAGGGGATTCCACATACTTTTGGCCATACAGTAGGTGTCATGGTCAGGTGTCATTAAACTTGTGAACATATTAGATATTTTAAGTGAGCACTCCAGTATTAGAATTTGAAGTTGGTTTACTAAAGGAATTGAGAATCTTCAAACAATGACTTCACTTTATATCACATTAAATCTATGTACTCTGATGGGCTGGGGGAAACGTATCTGCCAACCATCATGATGTCTGAACTATTCACCTGGATGTGTGCCATGTACGCCTGAACCACTTCCAATCCATAGACATCAATGAGCTCGTTCACAAGCTGGATGCCTTTCTGATTGGCTGCCACCTGCGCACGCAGATCTGACAAATTGTCGTGGAGGTTGCGTGTACCACTGCTGCCCGGGATCGATCCTGGAGCCATCAGCGCCTCTGTGACAGCTGAAGAAAAAACACAAGGGAAGTAAGGAAGGAACAAACAAGCTAAAAATCCTTACAAGTTCTCTTCACAACGCCTCCTCTGATGACAAGCCCCTTCCCACGGACGCTCAACTTTGCTGTGCTTTTCATACACTCCATTAGTCTGTCGGGGCCTTAGGAAATACCCGATATCTGCAGGTAGGGTGGAACATGCGATATTGCACCTTCCTTCCAGGATGCAGCATTTGGAACTTGAGCAGCCAATTAACCGGCCTATAAAAGGTCAACTTGGGGGAGAGAAGAAGATCAATAACCCTCCAACACAGAGGTTACGCAGGGATAAAAGTTAAGACTACGACAGGTGAACAGGGAGGTGGTGGTGTGTGTGTGTGTGTGTGTGTGTGTGTGTGTGTGTGT